GAGTCATGAGGGGCCCATAGTTCCCCCATGCTGGCTCAGGAATTCTGGGAGTTGAAGTCCATGAGTCATGAGGGGCCCATAGTTCCCCCATGCTGGCTCAGGAATTCTGGGAGTTGAAGTCCACGAGTCATGAAGGGGCCATAGTTCCCCCATGCTGGCTGAGGAATTCTGGGAGTTGAAGTCCACCAGTCATAAATAGGCCATAGTTCCCTCATACTGGCTCAGGAATTCTGGGAGTTGAAGTCCACGAGTCATAAAAGAGCCAAGGTTGACTACCCCTGAATTTTAGCCTTGAGGATTACCTTCATGTGATACATCATCATCTCGTTGGCCAAGTGACTCCGGTATTGTGCTTCCCGGACCTTCTTGTAGAGCAAGGACTGCCAGAAGAAGAAAAAAAAGAAGATTTAGTCGGTCCATCCTGGAGCACGTAACTTCTCTACGGGAGATATTAATTAAAGTTAATGTTCAGGACTTTTTCCCCCGAAGCCCTCTCCCACAAAGCTTCTTTCCCAGCTTCAGTCGGGGTGCATTGGGGTTACAGATCCCCAGAGTTCCTCCAAAGGTCAGCGGAAGCTTCCGGGCTGCACCGGGATAAGGGCCCCGAGCCGTTGGGGACAAAAAAAAAGAGAATAAAACCGGCGTACGTGGGCGATGCTGATGCCGCAGTAGATGGAGAAGGCGGTGGCCAGGTCCTCGTCAAACTTGCTAAACCAGGGCCCGTTGATTTTGTTCACCAGCTCGGACACGCCAATCACCTCTGCACGACGAGAGGAGAGGAAGGGTGAGGAAGAGGATGGGGATGGAGGAGGAGGAGGAGGAGGAGGAGGAGGAGGAGAAGAAGAAGAAGAAGAAGAAGGAGGAGGAGGAGGAGGAGGAGGAGGAGGAGGAGGAGGAAAAACCCTGTTTTTCTGAATCAAGAAACGGTTGAGATGAATTCCTGCACTGGAAGGGCTCAGGCTGCAGGTAAATAAAGTGGCAGCTTTACACCATGGCAACTTTGCGACGGCTGGACTTCAACTCCCAGAATTCCCTAGCCAGCTAACCCTTCCTTCCTTCCTCCCACCCTCCTTCTCCTTCCTTCATTCCTTCCTTCCCTTTCTCCCTCCCCGCCTCTCTTTTTTTTCTTTTCCTTCCTTCCTCCCTCCCTCCTTCCCTCCCTTCCTCCTTTCTTCCTCCTTTTCTTTTGCTTCTTTCCTCCCACACTCCTTCTCCTTCCTCTCTCCCTCCCTCCTACCTTTTCATTTCCTTCCTTCTTTCCTCCCACCCTCCTTCTCCTTCCTTCCTTCCTCCCTCCCTCCCTCCTTTTCCCTTCCTTCCTTCCTTCCTTCCTTCCTTCCTTCCTTCCTTCCTTCCTTCCTTCCTCCTCCTCCCTTCTAGCACTGATGATGTTACCTAGTTGGGTCATGAGATGTCTGCAAAACACCACCAAGCTCAGAGAGCATCAAGGAACCCGCAGTTTGTCCTTCCTTCCTTCCTTCCTTCCTTCCTTCCTTCCTTCTCCTCCTCCCTTCTAGTACTGATGATGTTACCTAGTTGGGTCATGAGATGTCTGCAAAACACCACCAAGCTCAGAGAGCATCAAGGAACCCGCAGTTTGTCCTTCCTTCCTTCCTTCCTTCCTTCCTTCCTCCGGCCCTCCTTCCTTTTCATTTCCTTCCTTCCTCCCTCCCTCCTTCCTTCCTTCCCTCCCTTTTTCCTTCCTTCCTTCCTTTCTCCCTCACCGCCCCTCCATTTTCTTTTCCTTCCTTCTTTCCTCCCACCCTCCTTCCCATCCTTCCTTCCTTCCTTCCTTTCTTCCTCCATCCCTCCTTCCTTTTCTTTTCCATCCTCCTTCCTTCCTTCCTTCCTTCCTTCTTCTCTCCCTCCCTCTATCCCTCTCTTCCCCTCCCTCCTGGCAGATAATGTCTCCTTTGGCGCCTGTCGTGCAGCTGCAGGATGCCCGTCTCCTGGCACGGTCTGAGCGTGTCCTGGCGGCCTCTCGGCCAGGGGTGCCCAGGACCCCCGGATCTCCCCCGCGGACGGGCTGCTCACCCTGGTTCTCGTCTTTGATGGGGAAACAGAGGATGTTCCTGGTGCGAAAGCCGGTGCTGTCGTCCACCCCGCGGTAGAAGAGCGGGTGGGAATAAGCGTCCTTGATGTTCAGGATCTTTCCCGTGGTGGCCACGTGGCCGGCGATGCCCTGATCGGCTGGAATCCGGATTTCGTAGCTCTGCCCCAGGGAGGGAGAACAGGCCGGTTACTCCAACTATATTTCTCTTTTGCTCTACTTAGCTCATAAAACAACGCGGAGAGCAGAACAAATATAAAACGAGAACGGAAGGGAAAGGGGAAGGCAGAAAGAAGAAAGCAACACAATCACCATTTAAATGATGCCTAAAAAGAGACAAAAAGGGTCTTCTGGTTTGAGTGAGCAAATCAGTGTTTCTCAATCTTGGCAACTTTAAGATGGGTGGACTTTAGCTCCCAGAATCCCCCAGCCAGAATGCTTTAAGATGAATGGACTTCAACTCCCAGAATCCCCTAGACAGCATGCTTTAAGATGAATGGACTTCAACTCCCAGAATCCCCTAGACAGCATGCTTTAAGATGAATGGACTTCAACTCCCAGAATCCCCTAGACAGCATGCTTTAAGATGAATGGACTTCAACTCCCAGAATCCCCTAGATATCATGCTTTAAGATGGGTGGACTAACTCCCAGAATCCCCTAGACAGCATGCTTTAAGATGAATGGACTTCAACTCCCAGAATTCCCCAGCCAGCATGCTTTA